CTTCACTGATGCTGCCAGACCTGCTGAGCTGTTCCAGCAACTTCTGTTTTTGCACCTAAAAACATGCATGCATTAAGTGTAGTCACTGGCTGAGAAGAGCAATCAACACTTATGGAATTGCACAACATAGAAGCGGTGTCAGAAAATGGGCAAAAAGAAGAATATAAATCAGATGGAATTATACCTAAGTACAGATGGTAGATGAAATAAACTGCAGTCATGATAATCTAGATATAAAACTTTTGTAATGAGACTAGGCATTTAAAATATGCATTTATATTTAACCTTTTCCAGCACAGAGTGTAGTTTGTAACCCTACTACAAAAACAAAATCAGGTACACTTGTCCTCTGCAGTGTCAGCAACATGCAAAACAAACATGTGAACCTATGATTTAACAAAGATAAAATCCAATAAATGATTGCTTTGGGTTTCATTAGCAAGCTGTGTGGCATTTTCTGTAATAACAAGGTGTAAAATATGGTAATTATCTGTGGTTTAGAAATATCTAATAGCTACTCTGCATCCAGACAACTATATATGGAACTTCCCTTATTGAGCTTTATTTGCAACCCAGGCAGTACTCTAGATTCATACAATATTACTGTACATAACATGAATTGAAGAAAATTTTGTCAACAGAAGCAAGAATGGCACTGTTACTGTCAAAGTGCGAAAGGAAATTAAGCTCCCGCACAATGGAAAATAGCAAAACTGAGAAGCTGCCAAAATAGGGGCTAAAGGCATCCGTTTTCAGCAAGTACATTTGACAGACTTGGTCTAAACCGAACAGTGAAACCTTGTGATGGAACATAAAAGTGTTCATATGCAGAAGTTTAAAGGTTGAACTTTGTCCTTTGTGGCAAGCTTGTCTACAAGTTGCTACTTTGGGGGGATACAATAAGAACCCAACTTGTACTCAGCTGGTAAAATGCACATATTGTGGTAATAGCTTTGCAAATAACACTGAAAATGCAAACATGCAAATCAATATTACCAAATGTGTTCAATGGAACTGTTCGATACAAACATGCAAATTAAGATCAGGATTAGGTCACTCAGGCCCTCAAGTCTTCTCCACTGTCCATCAAGAGTGAGACTGATCTGGCTACTTACTCAACATACTTTCCTATTCGCGACAACCTGATTCACCATCTGCCTAAAAAGCATTTCAGTTTCCCTCCCTTTTTGAATAATGGAGTTCAGTCACTATTTCTCCCCCCCCATTCTAAATGGAACCGACCCTGAATCAAAGAAAGTTTAGAAAATTGAAAACAATGCATGAACACTCACATTATTCATTTACTTTAAGGCCCTAGGATAATCTCCATCAGGACTTGGGGAATTGTCTGTTTACAGCGCTAACTAGTAACACTTCTCTGGTACTATTTCCCAATTTCTAATTCCCAGACTCACTTTCTGCAGGACCAATGCTCACTCTGACAACTCCTCTTTTCAAATATCTGTAGAAACTCTTACTGGCATTTTTCATATTTCTAGTTAACTTTCTCGTGTAGCCTTAAATTTTCCTTCAATCATTGAGTGACTCTGCTGCTTTTTATATTTTATTCAATTTTCAAACTTGCCACTCTGTGTAATGATGTGCTTCCTCTTTACAAGCCTCCATTGTTTATAACTACATTTTGGGTCGCCCCCTGGGCACTTTTGTTAGAATGTAACTACTCTATATTCTCAAGTGAAAGGTAAAGTAGCTATTGTTTCACAGGACCATCAGATTGCTCTCTCATTAAAGAGACATGACTGGTAGTGGTTTAACCTGAAGTTCACCATAGCCCAGGCAAGGGGAGAGTTTGAGAGGAAAGACCTCAGCCAGTGCAGAATTGAATCCTGACTGTTGCCATCACTCTGCATCAGAAACTAGCCATCTAGCCAACTGAGCTAACCGACCTCCCATTCTGAACCATCCCTTAAAATGTCTGCCACTGTATAGCTCTTGAACTATCCCTTAAACTAATTTAACTGTTCAATTTAGCTAGATCTGCTTTCATGCCCTCATGAGCGTCCTTCTCTATGATAAAACAAAATTTTGAACCAAAATAACACATTTTTGAAGGGTTTTTTAAAGAAACATTGTCTTCTAATTCTTCAATAAACCAAATTTGAATTTAGTTGTATGAAAGTTGTGCCATTTCTTAAAAACAAAACAAAACGCCATGTAATACCTACACCTAAATCCTGCTGCTCCATTTTAAAAAAAGATGTGAAAAAGAACAATCAACAAGTACATTAGTGAATTCAAACCAGAAGTGATTGGCAGAAACAGATCTTGCACTTGTGAATTATTCAGCATATAACTGCTCAAAACCAAATGCCTTAAAATTCCTAAGACGTTCCAACCTTGAGGTTTAAGATTTTTCTGATTTGAAATGGTGTCTTCAATTTAAGATAAAATAGATTGGGGGTGTGGCCTGCTCTGAACTCTGACAACAAGCCTGGATAGTTTGATTGCTAGAGATTTTGGGGAGGGGGTTGGGCAGATTGTTTTACTGGAAAGGTGGTGCAAGCTACTTACCCTTGTAAATTATGCCAACAGTCTGTATGCTAGCTTGTGGAAAGACTGAAACTCCATCATAGAAAATAGCCAAGATTCTTGAATTATGCTTTAAACTGACCATCAAGTTCCAAGGTAAAATGTTTTGTGATCCCAAGGATAACTGAATCAGCATTTCTACTGGTATACAAGATCCATGTGATTCACACCGCCATGGAGATGGGCTTAGGGCAAGGGAGCCAAGATACCCCTAAAAAATTTCAAACATGCAGTACATCAGGATCCCAGACAGGGAGAGAAGCTACACAGCAAGACAACGGGTCACCATGCAGGAGCTGGTAGTCAACACTTGAATTGAAAACACCCAATTCATCAGAAATAAAACAAGGCTGGAAGATTCACTTTGCTTGTGCTGGAGGAAGACCAAATCTGAGAATCGTCTTTCTCAGCGTTAGAAGTTCCCAGGCTGAGACAGAAAAAGAACAGAAGTAAACCTCTTGAATTAATCACCTTGGACTGTGTATGGGAATTGAATGTCTATTTAACAGAGAGTAAAATATATGTGAACTCTTTTTGGTTATGCTAAAAGTAGTTGGCTGTTTTATGGTTTGACAGTGTAAGTTGCTTACTAATAATGTTTAGCCAATAGTGTATTTGATCTTTTATTACAATGGAAAATGGAAAATGTAAAATCTTATATCATCGTTAGAGCCAAGTGTAATTTTGTTTTTAAGAAAGCTATTGAGCTCTGAAAAAATTGTAACATTTATAGCATCGTTCCCGAAGACGATATTATTGCTCATACTTTCCTACCTGATTTATATTTTAAAAAGTTAAAGGGGTATTGTACAACTATATTGACACTCATTCAACCAAATGTAGTGAATAACTAGAAATAAACCTATCATTGTGCATAAACGATGACATTGCAGATTTGTTTCCACTGCAAACTCAAAATGCTGTAACTATGGTTGACAGTCCTGACTTTGTAGCCATTTCTAATGTTACTAGGTCTTATTAGAAGGCTTCAAAACTCACCAATCCAGCACTGTAATATCCTGGAAGATACTTTTCACATATCTGAACGAGACACCAAAAAGCTTGCTGTGAAACAAAGAACAGTATTAGAAGTGTTCACAACAGGGAAGACTAGCAGTGATACAGTAAAAAAAAAAAAAAACAGACACTGAACAATGCTGTTTGCTGACATCATATTTTGACATCTAGCAAATTAAGATATTTATCAGTTTATGAAATATTCTCCTGGACTGGAATCTACCAGGTCAGACTTTAAGATTCATACAACAGGGTGTTCAAAAGCTTCCAATTTTGAACCAGGATACAAAATGACAATTTCTAGAACAGGTTAATTAAAAAAAGGTGATAAATAGATTATTCAATGGCTGCTTTTCAGAATTTACAATTAGGTCATTACCTCTAAATTGGTTTCATCATCCAACAAGAATAATGCCTGATCTATGATCTCTCTCTATATACCATTGTCCCTTATTGAGCAATATCACTTATGAACAAAAATATCAGTCTTAAAATTAGCCACTGACCAAGCATCATGTGCTACGAGTAGAAGACCATAGAACACAAGCAGTCAGTCAGTCATTCAGCCAGAATCCGCTCCACAATTCACTAAGATCATGGGCAATCTGAATCATCAACTTCACTTTCTTGCCTTATCCACATAACCCTTCATTCCCCCACTGATTAAAAATCAGTCTCAGTCTTGAATAAACCTAACGACCCAGACACTGCAGCCCTCTGTGATAAAGATTTCCACAGACTTGCTATCCTCAGAACAAATTCTTAATCTCAGATTGGGAGATCACTCGTTATGACCTCTGATTCTAGATGCTTCCACAAGGAGAAACAACCTCTCCACATATACCCCATCAAGCTACCCAAGAATGTGATATATTTAAATAAGGTCTCCGCTTATTCTTCTCAACTCCAATGAGTACAGGTCCAACCTTTTCAAACTCTCATAAGAAAATGCCACCATACCCAGGATCAACCAAGTTAATGTTCTGACTACATCCAATGGCAGTGTATAATAAAGAAAAACAAACACTCGCAGTGTTGTACCGTGTGGTCAATTCTGAAAATGTGTCATATCGGACTGTAATTTTAACATGTTTGCTTCACAGATGCTGCCAAACCTGTTGAATTTTCTCCAGTTTTATTCAGTCTAACAATGCCACATATTCTTTTAGCATGACTTCCCTATTTTTAATCTCCATTCCCTTCGAAATAAAGGCTAACTTTCCTGCCTTCCTCACCTTCCCATATCCTGTAGAACTTGTATGTTAGCATTGTGATTCATGCACAAGGACCCCCAAATCTGCGCTGCAGTTTTCTCCATTTAAATAATATTCAGCTCCTCTATTCTTCCTGCCAAAACGCATAGCTTCACATTTTCCCACAATAATGCATCCGCCATGTTTTTGCCCACTCATTTAACCTATCAATATTCTCCTGAATATCTTTGGTCATTCTCACTACTTGCCTTTCTAGTTTTGTGTCATTCACAAACTTAGCAATTGCACATTCACTTCTCTTATTCAAGACATTAAGCTGTAAATAACTGTGGTCCTACTGATCCCTTTGGCAATCCCACTAATTACAAACTGCTAATGTGAAAATACCTCTCAACCCTAACTCTGTCTATTAGTTAGGCCAATTGACTATCCCAAAACCATGGACTCTTCCTTGAAGTTTCTGCAGGGTCTTATTAAACCCCTTTTGGAAATCCAAAAATATTACAACTACTGGGTCACCCTCATCTATCCAGCTTATTACCTACTGAAAGAACTGTACTAAAGCTGTCAGGTAAGATTGTCCTTTCAAGAAGCTATACTGTTTGATTATATTTCTAAATACTCTGTTTACATTCTTTATAATAGATTAACATTTACCCAATAACAGACATTATGCTAATATGCCTAAAATTAGCTTTTTTTGTCTCCTTCACTCTTTGAAGGATAATAGTAATTTTCCAATCCTCAGACTTTTCCAGAATTTAAGGATTCTTGGCAGATCACTACCAGTATATCTATTTAATATTCTAGGATTCAACCCACCAATTCCACATAGCATTTTCAGCCTTCAGCCCCATTGATTTCCCTGGTACTTTTTCTTTAGTGATAGTTATGGAAATAATTTCCTCTTCCACTTTTGCGCCTTGATTATTTACTGATTTTGGAATACTATTAACATCTCCTACAGCAAACCTGATGCAAAGTATTTATTCATTTCCTCAGCAATTTCACGGTTCTCCATTATTATTTCCTCAGCTTCACTCTAAGAGGCTCATGTTCACTTTGGCCTCTTTCTCTTTATATGGAAGGAAGCTTCTGCTGTCTATTTCTATATTATTTGCTAATTTACCCTTTTTTCCCTCCATTTTGCTTGATCATCTTTTCGCGGATTTTAAAATATTCCCAATCCTCCAGTTTAGCCAGAAGTTTTACCACATTATAATCAAATTGAAAGAAAATATACAAACAAAAAACTTTGTTAGCCACGGTCAGTTTATTCTCTTTCTAGAATCCTTCCTCACTGGCATATATTTTGTACTATAAAGGTCATTAAGTTTTTAAAATTAAAATACACTCCAGCAATTTTTCTGCTAAACTCCTTTCCTAGTCCACTCCAGCCAACTCTGCCCTCATTCTTTTCTAATTACCCTCACTTAAGTTTAGCAATTGTTTAAGACCCAAGTTTCTCACACACAAACTAAATTCTAATGTTTTAGTCACTGTTTTCTAGTGAATCCCTTACTGAAATAATTTGTTAAACTTGTCTCATTACACATTATATATCTAAAATAAGCCCGATTCCTGGTTGGATCCACAATACAAAGCATTCCTAAATACACTATGAACTCATCCACGTGGCTACCTTGTCAAATTGATAATCCCCAATCTACAGAAGATTAAAGTCACCCATGATTAAGGTACTACCATTTTTTCATGCACTCATCCGATTTATTCTGTCCTACAGTATAACTGCTGTTAAGGGGCCTACAGTGTACTCTCAACAGTGTTTTTCTCCATTTGTTTATCTTACTTTCACCAAGATGAATCAAATTTCCATCCTCTAATGCATTGTAATGCCAAGAGGTCAAGAAGAGTGAGATCTTAAATTGTTTAAAATAGTGTTCACTTGCTTGAATTTACTTAAAAATGGACACTTTATTGCATTGACAACATAGATGACGTGATCACATGATGTCAATCAACCACAGTTTCTACAGAAGTTCTGGCCAATAATTACCAGAAGGTGAAAGGTTACATCGTCCTCTTGAAATGTAACACTTTTTTGTATGAACATTGCAGCCAAGCCAATACAAATGGACTAGCAGAGAGGATGTCTCACTCAGCCGTTCTTAGCACGAGTCCACTGAACTCATTATTGCTTGACTTGATGCTAATAACTCCAGTTATGTGCCCAAAACACTAAGTTTTGGCTAGGACACCAAATCTCACCTTAGAGAGCGTGGCTAAACCCAAGGACCCAATCACATGAAAAAAACTGGTTTGTTTGAAATCACCTTCAGTGTTTGACTTGCTCTTCAGGTATTATTAAAATTGACAAAGTAAGCAGCTCCATGATAGCCAAATACTTGTCTTAGATTTCAACTCAAAGCTTGTGTTCCTGAAAAGAAAACTGACCCTGCTGCAAAAGGAAGGAATTCAAAGCTTACAACTTCCACACCTTCATCAATTTGACTGCATCCAAGTTCCTGCAAATGTGACTTCTGTGAACAGCCAACTGAAAGAACCTCAACTGGTCATTGATAGACTTGACTCGAACATACGTGAATTCTGATATTTTTGATTTTAAGTAATTCATAATTTAGGGTGGCACAGCGGCTCAGTGGTTATCGCCAGGGACCAGAGTTTGATTCCACCCTCAGATGACTGTGTGTGGAGTCTGCACATTCTCCTAGGGTTTGCGTGGGTTTCCTCCCACAGTACAAAGATGCGTAAGCTTAGCAGATTAGCCATGGGAAATGCAGGGTTACAGGCACAGGATAAGGGGTTGGGTTTCGGTGGGATGTGATGTTCTTTGGAGGATCAGTGTGGACTCAAATGGGCCAAATGGCCTGCTTCCACACTGTAGAGATTCTAACCTTGCCTTGATGCACGCAGGTTGCAAATACCATTCCCTAGGGTTTCAAATGCTGTAAAAACCTTACTTGGTTTTAACCCTAAAAAGAATGTACTAGATAATTTTTAATTTGGACCTCACAACAGGGTTTGTGGAAACACATCATTGCTTTTTTTCCTGCCTAAAAGAATAAAGAAAGTAAGAAAATGAAATTTTAAAAAGACAACAAGGTGCAGAGCTGGATGTACACAGCAGGCCAAGCAGCATCACAGGAGCAGAAAAAAACACCTTTGTTTCAAAGGACAGTAAAAATAATTCAATTTATCTCTCTCGTCTTACATGCTGTTTCCAGAAAGGCCTGTCTGCTAGACAATTCAGACCATCTACCAGCAAAATAGTCCTCATCCATTTACCCCAGCAGTTCCATGAAATATCAAGAAAACCTAACCTAATTTGTGTAATCCTTCCTCATATTTTAACCTATAGAGAAAAGATAATAAAAGAATGTCATACTCCTTGTCTAACCAATGTCATTCTGAAAAAGTGTCCAGAACTAAACACAGTTCTGCATTATAGTCTAACCATTGCTTATATACAGTTATTCCAAATTATTTTAAAATTAAAGTTACTCATATCTCCCTACAAAGGAGGCACACATTGCCAAGTAATAATGCAAATGGACAAAAGAGGAGCATTGCAAGTAGAGTAGAAAACTCAACTGCAGGTCTAATTTATTTTTTGGATGAAGGCAAGACGATCAAGGTAAAGAAAAACATTTATTAAAGTAGTCACGGATACAAAAGAATTTTATACACAAAGTTTCAACCATGTTGTGAAAGGACTACTTTTAAAGATTTAACAGAACCATGAGAATTTGACCTTAAAGTAGTCAAATCAAGATAGGTAAAAAAGACCCATGAAATAATGGTCCAAAAAAATATTAAATTGCTCCAGTATGACTGCTATTGGATAGATCTTAGAGGAGTGAAATTTAATTTGCTTTCATATAAAATGGTGGTTCTTCACTAGTTAATTTAATTCATGTATTAATTCATACACCAAACAGATAAATAGCAATTTGCTACTGTTTATGGAGTGTTAAACGTGAGCAAACCTAATGAAGTGTAACCTAAATTTAAACAGACAATAAGCAATACCAGCAACTAAATACAGCTTCATATCCAAAGAAGTTACAGTGGCAGTTTAACATGTTAATAGAAGGCTGCCATCGGTATAATTTTATACAAGAATGAATCGCTATCTTCCGGAAAGAATGGGCATAGTGATTTTTTTTTTTTTTAAAATTTAAAACACTTTCTCCTCAATTCTTTAAAATTTACTTCTCTTCCCAGAGACATACAATGGCACCAGTCAACTAGGTCACATGTTAAGAGGTTGACGCTTCTGAGCAAGCAGCTCCACTTCTGATTTTTCCCTTTCTCCTTCCTCCCCTGTAAGGAAGTGTTGGTTTACAACATACCTCGTTATTATAGAGCTTCCTTATTTTGCATGTATTTTTAAACACTCAGAACATAAAATTTTCTCCAAACAGATTTTCCAAATTGGTATTAAACATTGACATTAAATATGCAATTCAATTACCTCAGCAGGCATGTGCATCAGGAGGACAGCAGCGATTGGAGCCTGTGCCTGACAGTATCCCTCCTCTGGCCGGTAAATGGTGTATGCTTTTAAAACTCTATAGAGGTCTTGTTGCCTGGGATAAACCAAAAAAAACAATTTTGAGGACAAAAAAAAAAACTAGGCAAAAACATTTCTTGGACATTTAGATCTGGTCTTCCTCAGTGTAAAGTTCCATAGATTAAATGCTCCTGTTTTCAGGAAAAAAAAAGCCAACATTGAAAAGTGACTGCCTCAATTTCTCAGGCTGTATAAATTGATACCTGCCAAGTTAAATAAACATTACCTGGATCCACAAAGATTCCCACAGAGTTCCTATTAAAGTTGTGCATTACAATCATTGTCCCCAATTTTAAATAAAGTAAAATGAAATCCTTCAGACAAATGGACTTTTTTAAAAAAAAAAAATCACAAAAAAAATCACAAAAAAATTCTACCTAATTTTGAGCAGGAAATACTAGTTATATTCCTCAAAGCTTGGTGAAACAACTAGCTTGATGAGTTACTGAACCTTAAACTAGGTAAGCAAAATGTATTAATGGGGCATCAAGATCATGAAAGACAAACAGAAGAATTTTTCTTCTTTCTTGGACCTGCAGTGAAGCGTGTTGCTACGTTACAGCCAAATTTCAGAATGTGGTTTGAACCCACAGTCCTATGACTAAAGTGAGAATGAGATGATTCAGCAGCACTAAAAGAAACACAATGTCAAAAAAGCATTCAGAAATGTAATTAAATAGGTGCGAGTATAGTAATATGGTACAATGCCAGAAATATTTCCTTGTTCTTTATTAGAATCTCTTTTCAAGAACCAACCTTGCATCCTTCCACTTGGTGCAGCTTGATAAGGAATTGCCTCGCTTCACTCCAGCGAATCTGTTTACATGAACTATCATTCCTGATTATAGAATTTATAGCATTACATAGGAAATAGTTAAATAAATTTTTTAAACTTTGTCCTACGTCCAGAACCAGAAAAGCGTAGATCTTTTGGAGGGTGGACTAATGGATCACAAAAAGCGTTGTGTTTTACATCTTTTAAAAAGTTAAAATACATAAAGCAAAAAAGTTTACCCATGGCCTCCTCTTGCAATAAACATCTCATGAAAAGGAAATTGACGATGCAGATCTCTTTCAATTACATCGAGCCATGTTGGATCTCCAGGTGACTGATCCATTTCCTATGGAAAACAACCATTATAACCAGGCTTTAATAATCATTTTGATAGAGTAGTGGTGTCAGGTTCTCTCAATTGCAACCAATATATATTATCAACATTTCAGTCAAATTATTTAGAACAAATATAATTGCTTTTAAACAGATTACTTAACAGAGAAATGCAAGATCTACACTATTTTACCATTCTTTTGTCCATTATGGGATAAGACAACACAAGGATTTATATAGTGCCATTAACAGAAACGAATATCCCACAGCAAATATCAGGAGCATTATAAAACAAAGTACGATGCTGAGCCACTGATGGAGATATTAAGTCAAATGGCCAAATGCTTTGTCAAAGAAGCAGATTTTAAACAGTGCATTACAGATGAGAGAGAGATAATGAGGTGTAGGAAGGGAATGCTAAAGTTTGGGGCCTACATAACGGAAGGCACAACCACCAATGAAGAAGGAATTAAAAATCAGGAATAGGCTAGAATTAGAAAAGCACAAATATTTCAGAGTTGAAAAAACTAAAGAAGGTTACAAAGATAAGGTGAAGACAGACCTTGGAAGGATTTGAAAACAAGAATTAAGTCAAATTGTCAAATGAGTGGAATGAGTTAAAAGGTACAGATTAAGATTTCAACGGATAAGCTGAAGCAACGAGGGGAGACGGGCACGTTAAGAAATTAATAATAAGGAGCAAAAACAAATTGCTGGAAAAGCTCAACAGGTCTGGCAGCATCTGTGGACAGAAATCAGAGTTAACGCTTCGGGTCTGGTGATCCTTCCTCAGGACTGAAGATGCTGCCAGGCCTGCTAATCTTTTCCAACAATTTCTGTTTTTGTTTCTGATTTCCAACATCCGCAGTTATTTTGTTTTTTTTTTAAAGAAAGAAGAGTATGGTTTGACGTTGGGATCAGAAGCTCAGCTTAAGGTAAATTGGGTTGCCAGAGTTGCAACAGTCAGGATCACTCAGATTTTTACCCTGGCCACTGTCTATCACGCTATACACATGTTCTGCAGGCTTGAGGTCACTGCTAATGCATTTCCATTGGACATGCACAAACCTGGAGTATTTTAACTAGGAAGTTACAACCCTATTTACTGCATCTTGGATCTTGATATGTCAATTGTTAAATTTAAATTTTGACCATGCTCATTATAGCAGGATCAACCACATTTTTAGCCCCTAACCCCCAAATATAGCAGCTCCTGGATCCTGTGTAGCTCAGTACTGCCTCGACAGGAATGGTGCTGCCAATAAATTGGTTTAAAAGGAAGGAAAAACAAAAATGGGTCCTCATTCAGGACTGACTGCTAGTAGGATACACATGTCAAGTGCTTCACTGGTGGACAGTTTACAAGCAGTCACTGCTAATCAAATATCAGTCAGGCGAGGTGATTGAGGCACCTTTGGAGGCTTACTCAAGCAAAAAATGTCAAGTTCATCAAGAGGAAAGCAATGGAGAGAAAGTAAAATGAAACAGCATCAATGGTGCAATCTACTTCCTAACATTAATATTTTAATAACAGCCATAGTATGTGTACTTTGATTTATACTCACATCAAATTTCCCATGGTTCTGTTCCATTTTTACTTTACTTCCTGACAAATACTGCCAAGCTCGTCCTCGCAGTGAAGGTGGAATTCCTTTCTGACATCGGAGTTTTACCTATGAGAGAGAACCAAGAAATGCTAATACAATTTAAATTTTCTTCAATGATAATAAATGTTCTTCAAAAAACCATCTCATAACATTTTAACTGATTAACTTCGAAGTGAAATGAGGACAATTTTGATTTTTGTTTTATTCATTCACGGGATGAGCGTCTCACTGGCTAGACCAGCATTTATTGCCCATCCCTAATTACTCAGAGCCAACCACATTGCTATGGGTCTGGAGTCACATGCAGGCCAGACCAGGTAAGGATGGCAGTTTCCTTCCCTAAAAGGACATTAGTGAACCAGATGGTTTTTCTGACAATCGACAATGATTTCATAATCATTAGACCCTTAATTCCAGATTTTTTTCTTATTGAATTCAAATTCCACCATCTACCATGGTTCCCAGAACATTTACTGGGTCTCTACATTAACAGTCCAGCATAATACCACAAGTCAATCGCCTCCCCCAAATTCTTGCCCATGCTACTTTAATTCAAACAGCTTAAGGCTTACAAATTTTTTCAAGTTAACTTTCTAATAATTTGATTTTAAGTCTGGTAGCCCTACTAGCTCAAGGTACACAAGTAAATTTTTGTACAACTCATCCACTGTGTCATCTGAGATTTCTTTCAATACCTTAGTTAGAATGACTGGTCAGGGTGTGAGGAGAGGGAGGGCTTGGGTGCTGTTGTTTCCTTACAGTTCTTGACATATCATGATGAGTCAACGACAAGCAACATGACGTGATTCAAAATGGTTAAAATTCTATTATTTATTGTCTGGCATTTGAAATAGTTGAATCCTATTTCTGCCAGAATTAGATCTTCCACATTAGAAAGCACGAATCATGTCCTTCAAACAATAACTACATCACGTTGGCACTTAGTGACAAAAGTAATTAGTTTGAGTTTCTGTTGGACATCATTCAGTTCATTTTGATTCTTTTGACAATGCCTGCACAGAAGACATGCCTCATTTCTTCCAACAGAATTCAGCAACAATAGCAAAAGGAGGAGACCGATTGTAACTTGTTCTACAACATTTCCACTGATACTGTCCTACCATGATATGCATTACCCATCCATCAACCCCAGTTTAGGTATTTTGGGCCTTAGATTTCATAATGGGCATGAAACAGACTGTCTATTTGCTGAAGGCATTTCTCAGTATGGAACGCTAGTTGCCAATGTAAAATAACATGTTGATGAGGATTTAACACACCTTTGTCTGGAATAGGATGTCAGAAATCAGACTACACCAGGTTATAATCCAACAGGTTTATTTGAAATCCGAAGCTTTCGGAGCGTGGCCCCTTCGTGCGATGAAATGAGAGAGAAGCACACAGGCACAGAATTCATAGGCAGAGAAATCAAAAGATAATACAAATGGAGAGAGTGGAACTTCGACAGGCTGAATTATAGGTCTCCACAGGTGGGATCAAGAGCGCCAGATGGTGTGAGTAAAGTGTCAACAGCTGAATGACAAGCAAAGGGATGACCTATAATCAGATTAAATGAGGCAGAGAGATAATTACAAAAAAATTAAAAAATAAAAAAGGTGGTGCTGGACACAAGCCAAACAACTGGAATAACAAAAATAAGAACGAACTGCAGATACTGTAAATCAGATTATAAAACAAATTGCTGGAAGAGTTCAGCAGGTCTGGCAGCGTCTGTGGAGAGAAATCAGATCTGGTGACTCTTCCTCTGAAGCATGCTGAGGGTCTAAAGAAAGTAATAAGTAGTCCAAAACTGTACAAACTAATTAAGATAGAAAGATCATAATGTGTCAAGGTGGGAGTGTCAAAACAGTACGGTAAGGAAGATTTTACAGATACAGAACAGGATGGTGGGGTCACATTAAAAAAAAATGAAAAAACTGCAGATGCTGTAAATCTGGAACAAAAAGAAAAACAAAAAAATGAAATCCCTGGAAAAGCTCAGCAGGTCTGGTAGCATCCATGAAGGAAAAAAAAACAGCGTTAACATTCGGGTCTGGTGACTGTTCCTCACAACTCCGTTAACCCAAAACATTAACTCTGATGTTCTTCCTTCACAGATGCTGCCAGACCTGCTGAGCTTTTCCAGTAACTTTGTTTTTGTTGGTGGGGTCACATGTAGCATGAGATGAACCCAAGATCACAGTTGAGGCCATCTTCATGGGTAGGGAATTTGGCTATCAGTTTCTGCCCAGCGATTCTGCATTGTTGTGCATCTATCTCGAAGGCCACCTTGGAGAATGCTTACCCAAAAATCGGAAGCTGAACGTGCTCGACCATTCAAGTGTTCCCCAACTGGGAGGGAACATTCCCACCTGGCAATTGGTGCCCAGTGTCCATTCATCCATTGTCGCATCATCCGTATGGTCTTGCCAATATGACATGACTCAGCCTTCAAGATACACTGAAAACGCAGAATAGAGCAGAAACTGATAGCCAAGTTCCCTACTTATGAGGGCTGCCCCAACCGTGATCTTGGATTCATGCTGCACTACAAGTGACCCCACCACACTGTTCTGGATCTGCAAAATCTTCTTTACTGTCCTGTTTTGATATCATCACCTTGATAAATTGTATGATCTCTTTACCATAATTAGTTCGTACAGTTTTGGATTACTTATTACTTTGGTCAGATCCTCTGCATGCGACTCTCATACCTATCATGTTACTACAGTCAGTTGGTTTGTCTCCAGCACCACCATATATTTAACTTCTTGTAATTATCTCGGCTTCATTTAAATCAGAATATAGGCAATCCCTTCGCTTGTTATTCAGCTGTTGACAGTTTACTCATACCATCTGACACTCTTGATCTGACCTGCAGAGATCCATTATTCAGCCTCTTGACAGTCCACTCACGCCATTTGTATGATCTTTTGATCTCTCTACCCATTGAACTCTCTGGCTATGAATTCTGTGCCTGTGTCCTTCTCTCTCACTTCACCTGACAAAAGGACAATGCTCCAAAAGCTTGTGATTTCAAATAAACCTGATGGACTACAACCTGGTGTCGTGTGACCTTATCCACTCCAGTACTACACCAGCACGTCCACATCATGGAATACAATGGTGAGCAGGGTTCAACAGCTTTCCATACAATTAGATGCTCTCTGCGGTTACCCAAAGGCATAATGACAGCAACAATTAAAAAGTGCTAAAGGGGCCCCATCTTGTAGTGCAATGGTAGCATCCCGAACCTGGGTACCTTGGTCCAGGGATAAAGTCCCACCTGCTCCAGAGATGGGCAATAACATCTCTGAACAGGTTGATTGGAAACAAATTAAATTTAAAAAAAAATTAAGTGCTAAATTAGCGTGTGGATGCCACAGCACAATACTGGTGAACTCTTCTGCAGATTCGGGGCAGCACGATGGTACAGTGGTTAGCACTGCTGCCTCACAGCACCAAGGACCCAAGTTCAATTCCACCCTTTAGCGACTGTCTGTATGGAATTTGCACTTTCTCCCAGTGTCTGCGTGAGTTTGCTCTGGGTGCTCCAGTTTCCTCCTACGATCCAAAGATGCGCAAGTTAGGTGGATTGGTCATGCTAGATTGCCCATGGTGTCCAGGGATGTGTAGGTTAGATGGATTAGCCATGGGATAATGCAGGGTTAGAGGGATAGGCTGGGGGAGTCTGGGTGAAATGCTCTGAGGGTCAGTGTGGACATGGTGGGCCAAATGGCTTGCTTCCACACTGAGGATTCTATGACTCTATTTAAAAGCCTCCATCTTGCCCATTACAGCTGACCACACCCATTATGTTGGCATATTGGTGGCTTTTTCATTCTTACTAGCTCATTTATTGGGTGTTAAAGTCATTTAGTTACAATATCTCATGTACATGTGTTGGCACTCATACAGATGCAGAATTAGAATTCATCAATATCCTCAATTATGAACTCTCCGTTAAACTTAAAGCCACAACACACAAAAAACTGTTAAGTTCCTAGACGCCACAGTATTTTGTGCATGCATCATTGGTGTGGTTAAGCATTGATGGTTGCTGGAAAGCAGGAGGCTGGGAGGAATTTCAAGGAGGACAAAGTGATTGTAATTGAGCTATTTTAGTTTGCTGTACAAATATAGGCTTTTGGCACCATTTAAACTATTTCAATTTTGAAAGGACTTAGACATTTCTTGTTTGAGAAAAAGACCATCAACCCATAAGCATTGATTCAACGGGATGGACTTTTGCAGAATCACAATTGAGTTAGAAGACTTTCCCCCCCAAAATACTGACAATATTCTACACAAAAATCTATCACCCTAAACACACTTTCCAGAGACTTGAGATCACTGCTAATGTATTTCCATTGGACTTGCATAAACCTGGAGGATTTTAATTAGGCAGTTACAACCTTATTTACTACATCTTGGATCTAGCCACATCAACTGTTAAATTTAAATCTTAACCATGTTCATTACCGTCTGATCCACTAGATTATTTCCACAATTACAGCAGCTCCTGGATCCCACATAGCTCAAGATTCCCTTGTTGACAGGTTTAAAACAGTACTCTCTTCTCTTCCTACAACCTCCTTCTTCACCTTATCCAACTGTTGTAGCCACCCCTCTCCTCCTACCACCATTCCCAACCCATCTTGTAGCAACCTCTCCCCATCCTGGAACAAACCCTGCAATCCCCAGCCCCACATCCACGTTGCCTAAAGGCAGCTACAAATTCCCATTCTTCCGTCAGCAAAAGATGACATCTGTTATGGGCCAGACCAAACCCCCTCAAAATATACGAAGAGAATAGTGCAGACCCTAACTTTTTCTTATTTTAAAGGCAACTGCCAGGCATTGTGTTCTGGATGCAATATATTGATCAAACTACCAGTGTTGAAGCAAACACACTTTATTCATACAGTATGCTTAAAAGACAATAAAAGAAATTAGAATAACTTTACTGGAAAACTCATCCAAAATACAGATTACTTTACTACTAAATAGTAACGATTCCAATATAGTAACATCCCGTAAACACATCCTCGGCAAGACTATTTAGT